GCCAAAATTACCATCCACTCCAGAGGCGATGCTGGAAGCCGCGCCCTTCCCGTAACGGCCTCTGTGGCGAGGTTGGAGACGAAGACAGCACAACCATCATTGTCCCGTCGCTGCCTTGCTTGGACATGCTGCGTGGATGTCTTAAAGCACAAGCCAACATAACAATGCAACGAAACAGTTTCGTGTGGTCTTGAAGGCCTTGTTCCTCCATGCGGGGCTGTGCAACTGGTGTCAGCACGGCACGTCGATCTGGACTCCCGACGGAATTCGGCAAGTGCGGCGGGCTTTCACGACTGAACAACTGCGATCTCGCCTTCATGCCTGTCCCGAACCTCCCAAGCGGTCTTGTGCCCCCGGGTCCCAGCAGTCTCCATTGAAGAAACGGATGGTGGACGTTTCGCTGTTTCTGACTGAAGTCAGCTAGTAAGTCTGCAGCAAGTACAACACTTCACAGTTTACATACCTCTTCGATGCATGAACATCTTTCAGATCCTGATGCCCTAGAAAGTTCGCAGCGGGGTTGTGCGGGCACTAGCAGTGGGTGAAGATTGCAAAGAAACAGCTATGTCTCAAGCCATGTGTGCAGTCGTGCTGCCAAAGGTAGGCGGGGACATCCGCTAGACTTTGCATCGTTATGGTACAGCCATCGAGCAAGGTCCCGCTAAGTTCGCGGATCGCCCGCTTGGCGGTCTCCTCACAAAAACTGTGCAAAATGTTCACCTGGAATCGCATGAAGCATCTATCAAAAATCGGCCCGACATGATGCTACAGCCATGAGATGCCATGAGAACAAGCTTCCCTTGCCTCGCTGTCAAAGTCTACCTTCGCGGTGCCGTTAAGGTCACTGCTATCCTTGCGCAAGGAATCTCCACAGTTCTTTGCTCGTGCATTTTCTCTCACTTGTGTTTCCCAAGAGTTCGATGGAGAAGGTGTCCAGAGAAGCACAGACATGATCGATGGACGGGAACTGTAAGCCACGTGTCTTGAGATGTCTTGCGATGAAGTCGACGGTTCAGAACAAGGACTGCAATCTAAAGCAGGAAGATGCAGAAAGTGCAAATCGAACCAGATTGATCTGTGTCCACCTCACGAGCGAGCACATGGACAAGATCTCAGTTGCGTATCACTTCTGTCGCTGCCGCCGTGTGTCAGAGTCTATGAACAGTGACACGTGCCGGACTTCGCCGACCCCTGCAGCAGGGGGAGCTCTGCGACACATCTGTCCATTCTGGCAACCGCACTCGCCTGCTGATGACACCGATGCCCATAACACAGCACGCTTCGGTTTCCAGAGCAATCAGTGTGGCCTTGACAGTATTCGCCCAAGGTCTGCGGACCAGTTTCGCCGCTGAGGCCTGTTTGTAGAGGCGTTGCGTACGGGCCTAGCGCACCTATAGCTAGCAAATGCTAGAAAGACATTCGTGCAGCGATACGTGGCTCTCGTAAACACACAGAGGACACATCTGCTGAGGCCGGCTTTCCTATGGTTCAGTGCTCCAGACAAGACTCTAAGACTCTGGGGCACGAAGCTCCGGCGACGTGATGCGCGCAAACAAACTCCATGGCGAAATCTTCCGACCCTGCAGCCCCGGATGGCCTGTCACGAACACTTTGGACGTGATGTCACGAGGGGGGCGCCTGAGAACTGCTAGCCGCTGCTGGCAGGTCCCGAAAACCGGTCCATGGAGCGCTTCACAGACAACTGGCCGGGTACAAAGGCACGGTCTTGCAGAACCTTTCCGAGTCAAGTCTTCGCAATCTTCGCCACAAATCTTTGGATATGCCGTTCACTTGACAACGTGACACCTTGAAGCTCGACGTCAACATGATGCGGCCATGTAAAGACTAGTGAGCGGCTAGTGCCCCACATGCATCTGCGAAGGTCGACAGAACTTTAACATACTTTAACACAACATGATGTTGACAAGCTGTGATTGATGTGCTGCTCCCAGTGGCCGTGCACGCGGCTGCTCTGCAGGGACCTGCAGGCATGCCGGCTTTGTTTGGGCGATGGATACGGGGTTTGGGGCCCTTGCTGACACGGCACTGTGCAGCCAAGCGCAGAGCAAGAGCCTTGCTTCTATGGTCTTTAGGATCTCGCTGGCGACCCTTCACCTTTCTTGTCTTGGCCAGACGAAGGTTGTAAGATGCTGCGTCGTATGTCAAATAGTTTTGTTTTGACACTCGTCAGAACAGGCGCACCCCCTCGACATGGTTTCCGTATTGGCTTTCCGTCTCTTACTTGAACATACTTGAACCTATATCGCGCGGCGACTTCCCGTGTCAATCATATCTGCATGCACCTGTGCTGAGTATGGCCTTGTTCGGCTGGCCTGCATGATGAAAGATTTCGTGTCCTTGATCATCTATGCAAGCCATGCTTTGGATAAAGGCCGAAGCCACAGATCTTGTCAGCTGTGGCGCAACATGCTTGGAATGACTGACGACAGCAGCAGCCCAACCCATGCCTCCATGGGGCGAGGCTCCCTCCAGGCATCCATGGTCGGCTCGCAGGGTGTTGCATTCTCCTGACCGCTACTCCCCAAGTCTCAAACAGTCCGCTCCGAAAGTGTCTACGTACCCTGGGTGGCAGCCTCTGACCTGTTGTGATCCTGTGCTGTGCTGCTACCTTATACGTGACTGACCGATGTCGCTCCAGCGTAGAATGATATAACTTGATATAACTGCTACAACGATCACGCCCTTTGACCAAAAAACTAGGCGCTGGTGAGAACGAGATTGAAATCCCAAGCTGGTACAAGCGCTCACGGACGGAAGAGGCATCGAGCGGTCGACGGTATGATGTCAATGGCAGTTTGCGCTCAAAAGCACATCATGCGAGTGGTTGAAAATCTTGATGTAGATAGCGTATTTTGCAGCCCAGGGTCAAAACACTCACCACCCTCAGTTTATCCAAACAAATCAGCTCCCCGCCCCCCATCAGGAACAGAACCTCGCTACCTGCAAACAGGATGTACTGAAACTGGCCGCATGTTGCCGTGAGCTCCACGCAGTTCCGATGCAGGGTTTTGCATGCTGGGTCCCGACTTGGTGGCTTCCTTCCACATGAAACGATCCACAGCCTAGTGGTGAAGCCGGGAGAGACTGATCTCGGCAGTAGGTGTTCTGCCTATCTCACAGGTCAAAGGCAAACCGTACATATGCTGTCGAGGATAAACGAATTAATTTGTGGAAACTTGCAAACCAGTGACTCGGACTGACTTAGTGTGCTGCGGCAGTGGCATGCAAGGAAATCGACAGGAAGCTTGGTGCAAGATGTTGCCTCAATAGCTCGATCTACATATTTCAGTATGCCACGGCCTGATCCCGACTGCTTGCGCACGTGGCAGAAACGTGATGAACAACAAACAACGTCTGTCGTATATGGTCCGTGCCCACATGACATCGCAGCACCGGAGTTTACACCTAATGCATCCACTACGGACTACATCTTACCTGTCAAGGGCTGAGTTCAGAAGCCTTAGCCGACCCCTGAGTCTCCCAAGAGACCCTTTCTCCTCCGCACCCTCCTGACCGTCTGGAACCGCCTGGGACATGACTGCATCATGTTCCTTTATCTGCTGATTTGCTTGCCTGCGCCCGGCCGTTCCACCCAGTTTCTGGGCCACCTGGCGCCTGCACGTACGGCTGCTCCAAAGCAAATACACCGAGATCGCCCCAACTGCACTTGGCATTAGTTCGCATCGGAGAGACAGTGCGGAGACGCGGAAACACCAGGTGCCTTTTTGGGCTCACCGGTGGGTACAGAGCTTCGCCAGTCGTTCCAGGCATCTGGCTCGTGACGTGGCGGGGAAGCCTGCCAGCGTGCACGCTCGCAGTTTCTATTCTCATTGCGGACCAAATCCGCTATTTAGCCGGGAACCGGCTTAAATTACGACCCCGCAAAAATTTGCCTGGCAGCCTGCTTAACTTCAGGTTGCCGAGATTTCGTCGTAATACACGAGAACGAAGGAACGAGAACGCCAGCAAGCAAAAACCTTTACATGCAGCAATCTTCGAAGCAGAAACCAGATCTTCACCAACTTCAAGCAGGCAATCGGCTAAGTTAGTGTGGGGCTTGCAAACACTCGATATCATTCCATGGCCCTGTTTTCATCTTATTTCATCTTAAACTCACGCTGCGACGTGTATGAAATGGGTGAAGCACGGCTTATTCAATTAACATCTGGCCTTTTGAAGGACGTCCAAGAAACCGAAATGCGACGAGAGTCACTGCTTCGTGTTCATTCCTCCCGTGTCTAACTTGAACGTGTGTATGTGCCAAAGTTGAAGAACAAAACACATGCAGCAATGGCTCCCCCAATGTTTCCTCTTGCACGGCACATTTCACATCAAAGGTATGTCCTTCGACTTCCGCCTCTCGCAGCTGATTACCACGATGTACATTGCAGACTTGCCATGCAAAACTGAGGAAGAATACTCAAAATAGCAGGTAGCAGCCAGTGTTCTTTGCCGATCTTGTCGCTTGGTGTTTCTGCTGGTCATCTCGCCTTGCAAATTGTGCCCGCAGAGCTTCGGGACATTTACCACGCCCAACTGCCCGTCTCGAAATCAGGAGCAGTCTTGCAAAGGCAAGCGCATGCACCCCAACGTTAAGCAGGAAGAGCGAGTTTGATGTGATATCGTATCCGTTGCTAGTTTTGCGAAAGTTTCAGCTGTATCGTCAGGAATATTCCGTCGGTGTAGGTCATCCAAAAGCGTTTGGTTGTTGCCAACGCTCCTTGGACCGCAACCTTCCCTCCAGCCACGTACTGAAAGCTACATTCAGCTACATGTCGTATGGCCGCCTGGATGTTCTTCACCGAACGTGTAGGATCATGCAGGTATGGAGGGAGCATCCTTATTTAGCATCACAGGGCACTACGAAAGGAACCCTGTTGGCAGCTATTTATGCGGCAGAGCTCCTCTTACAGTATGAGCTGCCTGAAATTTATTCTGCAGTGTTGCGGCAGCTAGATTGCAGCGATTGAGCAGCGTGCCTGCGCAGGCTCCCTTGAAGTTGAAGCGCAGCTCTGCCAGTCCTTCCAAGGGTCCGGCCGCTCCTGATGTGGTGGAGCAGCCTCCCAGAGTCAGGCTACAACTACAGCAGTTTCCCGAACATTTCCGCTGAGCCCACTTGTATAGCATCTTGCGGACCCGAAGCACAAGTGCCTCGTCCACAGGCTCTGCAGACGCTGCAGGCTGCGGGAAGGAGATCTGCCTGTCCCTCGAAGTTTCCGAAGGGTCTGGCTGAGTGGAAGCCTGGGGAGCACTGCAGCCGTACAAGCATAGAAAACGACTGAGCTTCACGTACTGTGTCAGCATTTGCACCCATTTCTCAATATACACAAAAGAGCCTCGTAGACCCACCCGTCAAAACTGTTTTGATCTTCTTGGCACCTAGAACTCGGCACAGCCAGGCGAGGCTCTCAGGAGGTGTTTAACAACAGCTACAGCCTCACCAGTTTTTTTAGGGTCAAACTGGGCCATGTTGGGACCTTGGGCCTTACCGGGAAGGCTGGCCCCGGCCTGCGCGGCCTCCTGCTCCCTCGGCGGTGCCTGGCTTTGCCATGCCTCCCAAGAGTCCCCTTGTCGAGGTGCGGGCTCCTGCGGAAGGCACACATTGTGCCTAGGCTCGGCAAGTGTATCCGACTGTGCCGTCGCGCCTCGCTTTGCCACGATGGCCTATCTTCTTGGTACGATGATGGCCAACTTCGCCAGCTGCTCCAAGACCACTGGTCCTGAATGCCGCATACGAGATGGTCGGAAACATCAGCCAGCTCTTAGCAACATTGGTTTCCGAAAACATATCTACAGCGACGTGCAGCAGTGCGACCTGTGGTGAGGGCATCTGATGTTAAAAAAAAGCAACTTTGCCGTAATCATGCAGCTCCTCATAGGGCTTCTGCCAGTAGCCCTGCCAATCGTTCCAGGACTGCCGCCAGTCCCACTCCTACCGTGCAAGGCCAGTCACGGATCACATTTTCTCCGGAGTTCTCGTTGCGGGCAGAGTGACGACGACTGACGAGTACGAAGCTGTACAGACATGCCAGGATCACCCAAAATACGGCAACAGTACGCTTATGCAAGGACCGACGACCCTCGACTTCAGCAGCGGCGAGACCTGGTCCCAGCCGTAGCCGCGGGACCACCAACTCGGGCTCCAGCTCCACCAGCTTGACCTGAAATGAACTCGGCAAATGTGCATTAAAACCTAGATACTGGCAGACTGGGAGCCAGAGCTGCAGTGCACACCGGTACTTTACCAAGGCACCACGAGTTTGGGCGCCAAGGGCCCTCCCATCTCCAGTCCGCGTTGTAGGGGCGGTCACCTGTGCTATGAAAAGTTGGAGAGCGAGAGCGACTGTGCATCTATGTTCTGCGGCTTCAGCATGCACCTCTCGAATAAACTTCGACTCCACCTTCCCAGGGTCACATGCCAAACGTGCCATAAACAGTAACCCAAATCGCCCCCCGTTTCGAGGCGATAGAAAGCCCAAGAAAAAGCATGAGCATGCATGTATGCAGGTAAGGTTCAGATGTGCCAAAGTGCCATACACAGTAACCCAAATCGCACCCCTTTTCGAGGCGATAGAAAGCCCAAGAAAAAGCATGAGCATACATGTATACCGGTAAGGTTTAGATTACCAGCTTCCTCGAAAAGGAAACTCGAACAAACACTCACATACAGTCACTAATAGTGGGAGGCAGCCCAACATCATACAAGCTACCGTATACTCGCACATAGGTTCATCACTGGTTCATCTACAAATCACAGTGCATGCACCTTTGTCTACAGAGTCTACATTGTCTAATTTCAACTCGACAATTCCAATTACCCTCTGCTGGGCCCTGCTCTCCTCTGCTCTGCCCTCTCCTCTGCTCTACCCCACCCTGCCCTGCCCCTGCCCTACCCTAGCACTGGACAGCACCACTCTTCTATCTATTCTGCTTCTAAAACCTAAACCATATCCCCTAAACCCTAAACCCTCATCCACCAACGTAGCTCTCAGCCCACAAAAGAAGCGCTGCTACTGTGCGACCCGGCGTCCACCCCAGGAGGAGGCCGAGGCCGGAGGGTCGTCGGTCTGGGAGAGCCGGGGTCCCTATAAAGGGACCATTTTATAAGTATATAATAAATGTATACATATATATATATATACACATATCTATATCTATATCTATGTCTATATCTATATCTATATCTAGATCTAAATCTATAAATAAATAAATAAATAAATGTGTATATATATATATATGTATATACGTCTATATGCTGTAGCACCCTGAGTCTTTATCTTACCCTAACCGGTTGGCAGGAAGTCGTAGCAGTAGCAAGACTATACGAACAACAAACAAGTATACTATAGGGGACTACATACACAAACACATCTTTCTCTCTCGGACATAAGGCATAAGGGTGTCCTGAGGGCGAGGGAATGCAGGCTTGAGTAACATAACTCACTCTCTCTCTCTCTCGCTCTTCGCTCTCTGCCGGTGCCCCTTCAAATTTCCCGTGCATCTCAAGATCCGTGCCTCTCCAACAGGGAAGCTTCTACCACCGGCTAGCTTTCATAGTTCTCACTCATGAACTTAGCTCGGGATCGCGGTCGTTGCAAATCGCTCGCAAAACACCAATGCAATCTCCAAGGTCCAACCCCAGCTCTCAAAGGCCGCTTGCTTGCATTCCTGCCCATGTATGCCAGCTTGGTCCTCTGCAAGGTGCGCACCTCGAGGGCTCGGAGCGTATAGTTTGAAAAGAACCTTGGCGGTGCTGAATTTCATCCTGACTTCGGGGTTCAGGGGTTTCGGATATTTGCTATTCATCCGGACATCCCTGATTGGCCCATGCAGGCCCAAGGTGGCGGTCTGCTTACATCCACCTCCAACTGTAGTGTGCGCTGGGGTCGGCACGCTTTGCCCAGAAGACTGGATGCATATTGCAAGTCCTGTGAAGCAAACATGTTTCGACAGGCTAGGGCTAGGATGCGAATTTCTCGTGTGTGCGTGTGCGTTTGCATGCATGTGATAGGTAGGCGAACAAGTATATACATATATATATATATATGGTGCAGCGCTACCAGGCCCCCCTCCCCCCGCAGCCCATGGTATCCCCCCACCTCCCCCTGTGGTTCATTGTGGTGTGGGTTCCCTCCCCCTGTCCCTCCCTCAAAGATGGTGATCACAATCCCCGTCCGCACGCTCCTCCCCCTGCTTAAGAGTCCTGAATGAAAGTCAAACAAGCACATGCTCGGGCTGACGTTCAGGCACCCAACCCAAAGTGAGCTTGCAATGACAACGGTCGATACAAACTACGAAAATCTACGAAAGAACATCCAGCCAAACAAGTTTTTGAAACAAGTGCACGCAAAGAAAATGCGGAACCTAAGCACAGAACAGCGCAAGAGCAGTGGCGCGACCAACAGTGACATTCGGAGTACCAGCGGGGGGTGGCGCGGGTTGGGCGATTTTGTGCGAGAGCTCCAAAAGAATGCCGACGGGGGGTGAGTGGGGGGGGCCACTGACGCGGCGACGCGGAACCATTTGGTGCGTGTGTGTGCATGCAAGTCTGCATAAGGGTATTCAAAAATATTTATGTGCTGTCGCATGTAAGCTGCAGATAGCGAAAACAAGCATCTATTGAAGCTATTGCTCCGTGCGCACGTGACTTAAGAATAAAAACAAAGGCGTATCAGTCTGTTTGAACATCCTCCATCTGCTTATATGAGATGTAGGTAGCTAAATAAACATCCTAAACAACAGGGACGGCATGTCCGGTAAGTACTGCATGAATGTATGGATGCATGAACGAATACATGTATGAATTAATTTATGTCTGGATGCATGTATGTACGCATGTTTATGTATGTATGTATGTATGTATGTATGTATGTATGTATGTATGTACGGGTCTATGTACGTAGGAATATTGTATGTACCTACGTATGCACGCATGTACATATGTATGTATGTATGTATGTATGTATGTATGTATGTGTGTATGTATGTATGTCAATGCGCATGCCGTGCTCATGAGGCTTTGAGAACACATCGAAGGCTCTCCATGCGTTCACGGAGCAAGTGGATGCCTTTGCCCTAGTATGCCAGGTTCAGCACAAGGGCACTGTACATGCAGCAACGAAGCTTGCCGGCAACACCATGCGCAGATTAGCACATGAATTCACGAAGTGCGAGCTCTTACAAAACCAATCCCCCACCGCAGTCAACACTCAATGCATCATGCATGAAACACGTCCTGCCACAACAGCTGGGCACCTGTCAGGTAGAAGTCCTCAGTAGCTGACGTCTAACTGACTGGCAGCGAACCGTCGGCCGACGTGTCCTACACTTGAGTTCCACATGCACACATCATGCTGCAACCCAGCTCATTAGGATCTTCGCGCACGAAAGCATCTATCCTAGACATTCGGTTCAGGCCGCAGATGACGTTGTTTCGCTAAGAAGCCAGACCGGACCTTGCCCGATCGAAAGCTCTTTGCATTTGCGCCAACAGCCTGCGCACATCGCAGCTGTTCGGTCCGACGGTTCATGAAAAAGATTCGCATGCTGTCTCATCCGCAGGCCTGCTATCTTCCGAAGAGAGATGAAGACAGCGAATGGACCATGCAAAACTCGAGCCCGGGATCATGCAACCATACCAACCCGGAAAACAATGAGGTTCAACAGTTCAACATCAAAGCCCACATTCGGGAGCTCGTTTTGCAACGCATGACAACTCTCCAGGAAGGCGGCTAAAACAACTTAAGGCCCCCTCGAAAACGAAACTTGGAAGATCTTGGAAGCGTTCCCGAGCGAAAGAAGCTGCATGATAATCCAATTCCTCCAGAATGCAGGCACACAGCAGAAGCAAAGGCCAAGCACTTTTTTCTCCAAAGGGATGTCTAAACTGCCCGGCCTCCGCGAGGAGGAAAGGAAGTCTTTAGCCTCTCTTTCTTCGCCTGCTTGGCGGATTTGGTTTTGGAGGGCCGGGGAGTGGAATGTCAGATCCTACTCGGGCTGGGCTGGACGTGCTGCTATGCTATATAAGGCCTGCCGAAGGCCATCATCTCTTTTCCGCGCGCCCCTACCGATCATAAGATCCATGAACCTTCTCAAGCCCGCGCCCCACAAAGATCTAATGAACCCCCGAGAGCCTTGCAAGCCCAACCTTTGGGCAAAGTCGTTCGCATCGCCCTCCAGCACCGAAAGCCTTGAGAGTAGGGATTCCTGAAACGATCATCCACTTGACTTGGGTCTTCAAGTTCCCGTCATTCAAAGGCTCGGGTGCTGGTTTCTCCGGCTGGCAGGGCTTGCGACTTTAGGGTGTCTAGAACGGTCACATGGGCAGAAGCCTGATTGAGGCGGCTCATGGTTCCGCAGCTTCCACGGAGCTCGCTCAAGCCGCACTCAGATGGGCCCCGCGAGGGTCCCATGTCCGAGCCAGCCCTCCTATCCACACAAACACTGTGGACTACGGCCGAATCTTTATGAAAAACAGAGCTCACCAGAGCTGCCACAACTGTGCGGATGATACGTTCAACCGCCCAGCAGCTCTTCCGCATGTTCTGGAGAAGATTCCTGGTAAGAAGTTACCTGCTCAGGCGCGCTCGAGACGTCATTGAAGGATGCAAATGTGCGTGCTGCGTGCGGAAAAACCGGTATTTGGAAGAAGAAGATGCAGTAAACAGCATGGGTTCTGAAAGGCACATGCAATGCATCCACGGGTGGATGGACGCGGACAAAGGATGCATGCGACAAACATGCACGAAAAACACATACAGACACCTGCATGTGCACATACTGCACACGCCGAGTAAGAGAAAGCGAGAGAGACTAAAACAGAGATTACGCAAGAGATAGATTGGAAACAAAGAAACCACAAAGGGATCCTGTATGTGTAGTGTCACGTGCAAACATACTATCAATATGGATGGATACATTCAGGGATGATGGATGGACGGACGGACGGACGGACGGACGGACGGACGGAGGGAGGGAGGGAGGGAGGGATGACTGGCTGGGCGGCTGGATGGATGGGTGGATGGATGCAGGAAAGCATGGAAGGATGGACGGCTGTATGCCGGCATGGATGGATTGCATGCATGCACGGACGGAGGGAGGGAGGGATTCATGAAGAGGGTGGATGCAGTGTTTCTGCATTGAAGCCACATGGTTTAAACAGATCAAAACCCTTAATTCCGAGGAAGATGTTTAGCAATATACATTCTGCCCGAGGTGTGTCAACAAAACCTGCAGGTGATGTTAAAGCAAGCACAGTTCAAATGTCAAATCTCGAAGACATGTATACACGCGTGTGCGCATGTTAATTCAAGAGGATTTAAACTTCAAACGCGGCAGGAGGGAGGGATGGATGGATGGATGGATGGATGGATTGCACGCAAACACAGTCTCTCACGAACGAGACACATAGCAACATGCCCGTCTGGAATTGAAACGGCAGGAATCAAAACAAAGCCCCTTCCGGCAAACTTCCATGGAGCGAGGCTGCGGAGTCTCTCAGGTCTGTACCAGATGCCATACGCTGGGAAGACTAGGAGAGGATGCCTGCTTCTCCATGAGGGAGAACTCGGCGACCAGAAGCTTCAGCTGGGGTCCAGCTACGGCCCACTCCGACCTGGTTCTTTTCAGATACGGGGTGCCCCCCGCCCCTCACTTTCCAGGTGTGTCGTCACGCATTTGTCGGGAATTCCTTGTTTATGCAGAGTGCACAACAGCGACGAGACCTAGGATTCAGGGTGCGCCATAGCCACCAATAGACCCCAGTGGTAGAGTCGTAGACCCCATGACAAATCGAATGCAGCGCGCCATCTGCATTTAAAGAGCCACAAGCTCAGGAACCGAAGCAGTCTAACTAGTCTTTGCACCTCTTTTTAACAGCATCGGGTTCCAGAAGATCCTGCGCAACCACCGTTCAAGATTTCCCGTATCAAATTCGGCAGAAGTCCACGGGCCACTGCATGCACAGCATGCACATCCATGTTCAGCCAAAGACTCATGTTTGTCCCGAGAAGATCTCTTTCCAGCTCATCCGCACTTCGCTGGAGCAGCCACTCGATGTTTCCTCAACGGCCGAAACGGCAAGTGTCGGACTTCCGTACTAGTAACCTCGTGGCATGTCCTACACAGAGGACTGCATGATGTCATCGTGTAACTTCTCAAGCTAGAAACAAAGTTTGTTTTACTGAACTTTTCTCCGTACTGTAGCAACGGAGCATGCGTATTCCTGGCGGTGAGCATCACCCTTGGGATTCTTGCATCAAGTTTCGCAAGGACACCAGGCTCCGCCTTTTCCGGACATCCTCCTCGTAGCCTGCTGTTGCGATTCAGGACGTGCCGCTGGACCCTGAACGGAATAATCGTTGAGCTCCAAACTCAACCAGACCTTGCAGAGATTTATGCGTGTATGAACTTGACATACCAGCGACAGTCGATGAAGCCGAAGTTGAAATAGCAAAGCAACCAAGGTAGTCACCAACTGTGGCTCAGGACAGAGCAAAGCTGGTGGCCTCGAAGTTCGGACCTGAGCTCTCGGAGCTCGTCGGCACCCGCAGGCGGCGCCTGTTCCACACAGGATTTAGCATGCGGCGACAGACATGCCAATGGGGATTGATACCATGCAACCTGCAGGTTTTGGGGCTCTGTTACAGGCTTATAGGCTTTGTTCACTGAGACTCCTGGGTTGGTTCCTTTCGGCGACCGAAAGGAATTCACGGCGACGCCAGGCAGAATCACCTGACATCCAAGCACTCACCTCAAACCGTGCCTGCTTGGCAGAGGATGGGCGGGAGGGGCGCGCGCAGGGGATGCTCCGAGATTAGCATTGTTGGAGTCAAAACATCGAGCGTCGGCAACTTCAAGATGATGGACAGCGGTGCACTTTGCATCCTCTAGCTGAGACACGATGCGGACAGTACAGGACAAGTCATCGAGGTTCTGGTCAATGACATGGTTTATCGGTCACTGGAAAACACACACGTAGCATACACACACCTTCGGCACACAATCAATCTGTGGGGTAACAACCTTGCTGCGGCTGATGCTCCCCAAGACTCCATGTAACACTAGAATCATGAGATGAAAAGAACAACAACAAAAAAGTAGCTCACTGGCGCACTATCTAAGAAGTCTTTCGTCCTCACAGTCTCACCCGATGCACTGAGATCCGCGCGGGGACCGTATGAGTCGTTCGTGTATTTCTGCGGCGTCTTTCAACTCGATTCCAATTCACTGCAGCACATCCAAGAAACTGGTATATTGGCGAACCGAAAACTGTACATGTCGATTCGTTAGTCGGTCTCACAGGAGTTCAACCCTCAGCGCCCAGACATGTTCAAGCTCTCCAGGTGCGGATCCACAGGTCGTTTGGCGTACTGTAGTGCTTACAAACCAACCTAACTAGACTCAGCTTTTTGTGTGAGGGCTGTACATGTGTCAAAGGCCATCCAAATATTCTACCTGTGTGCGACAGAGTCTGGGATGACGAGGCTAAGCCTGGGCTGACTTCTGGGGCGGCCTAACAAACCATTACTTTGAAAAAGCTGCTGAAACTGTAGAAACATACAGTACTTCGCAAATAAACAAACGACACACGGCTCGGCCCATAGCCCAGGAGCTCATGAGCATGGACCTAACCGAAACGGCCTCCGGGCTTGAACGCTTCGGCCCCAACTGGTCCGCAGCCTTGCTGGAATGCAAAAGTACCAAAGTGAGAGGGGGCCATCGTTGGCAGTATTCGCAAGGTAACCTTAACCAGTCATCCTGTCATCGTTAGCCAACACTTAGTCAGGAGTTCGCTTCACGCTGCCCAAGTTCCAATATCCGACACTTCGAAACCTTTCAGGCTCGCACGGTCTAGCCTAGACTTTGGATCTGCTTGAGCTTATGAGGCGCGTCACATTTCAAGCCAGTGACCCCACCGACGCGAAAAGACCTGCTTCATTGAATTTACATCCAGTCGCGAGTTGGAGATCAAGAGCAAGGCATTGGCAACTGCATTGCGCGCTTTGCACATTATTGTCCAATCGACTGCTGCACCCCCCACCCCCAAAATAAAAAGAAACGAGACGCTCCTGGCTCGACTCCCTGCGGGCCTTGGCCAGGAATCGCTGTCGCACCTCCTCCGCATTCGCGGCTGCATCCTTCAGGCTCGTTGAAGATATGCGCCGATGAGAAAGCAACAACAATACCACCGCCACCGCCACCGCCACCACCACCACCACCACCACCACCACCACCACCACCAAAATCACCACCACCACCACCACCACCACCACCACCACCACCAACAACAACAACAACAACATCACCATCACCAGCTCCACC